GGGATGGGGAGGGAAGTGGGGAGGGGTGGGGAGGGGAAGGAGTGATTTCACAACCTCACCCGCACCCCAGATGCCCGTGCAGCAGCCACCATCGAAACCATCAGTTGTCAGGAATTTCAGATGAGGGTTAAAAAGGAATAAAGTGTCACTAAGACATCTTGGTTTTGGCATACAGATGTCATAATCACAAGTAAATTACAATTAATATTCTCTAGAAGACACTGCGAGTGAGGCGCCAGGCCCCCTGCTCCTCCCCACCTCCCCTCACAGCCCCTAGGCACCACACACCAGCCATCAGGCTCAGGCCATTTCTCCTCCGCCCACTCCCCAGCCTGGGCAGCCCCATCCCTCTCCATGAGCCACACCCACCCCAGAGGCCCCTCCCACCCAAGGGTATTCACAAACAGCTGCATTTTAGCTGAAATTTCTGGTCATAAGTAAAGAAAAGCAGAACTGGAACAGTTTCATTAAATGACTGTGACTGCGTCAGGCCACAGAACACTTGGCACCTCTGGATTTCTGCACCTAATTAGGACTCGGAATCATAGGGACCGGAGGAGTGGACACTGGCAAGGTCAGCTCGCCGCTGCCAGAAGAGATTAGAAACATCAAACGGCAGCTGTACCCCGACACCCTGCTCTCCCGCCTGAGGCACACCCCAAGACCGTCCTCAGCACCTCATGCTCCTTCACAGGCTGTTCCCGAACGAGCTGCCCAGTCGCAATGGCAGGCCGCACCGCCATGGACGATGTCTTGTCAGCCGTTTTTTGGTTTCTGATTTACTTGTTAAAATGATACAGAAGGGCCGGGTGCAGTGGCTCACACCCGTAATCCCAGTACTTTGGGAGGCCAAGGCGGGTGGATCATGAGGTCAGGAGATGGAGACCATCCTGGCTAACACGGTGAAACCCCATCTCTACTAAAAAATACAAAAACATTAGCCAGGCGTGGTGGCGAGTGCCTGTAGTCCCAGCTACTCGGGAGGCTGAGGCAGGAGAATGGCGTGAACCCCGGAGGCGGAGCTTGCAGTGAGCCGAGAATGCCTGGGTGACACAGCAAGACTCCGTTTAAAAAAATAAAACAAAATTATACAGACGTACCCCTGATCTGCAGTTTCAGTGACCCTCAGTCAACCTTGGTCTGAAAATATTAAATAGAAAACTCCAGAAGAAAACAATCCCTAAGTCCTGAATTGCATGCCCCTCTGAGCAGTGTCCCACCCAGGGCATGAATCATCCCTCTGTCCTCCGCATCCACACTGTAGACACCAACCGCCCACCGCAGTTGAGAGGTAGAGGAAGAGACAGAGACTACATTCACTTTTATTACCGTATATTATAATTGTTCTATTCTATTGTTATTGTTAAATATCTTACTGTACCTAATTTATAAACTGTATCACAGGTATGTATATGCAGGACAAAACCTAGTATGTACCGTGTAGGGGTCAGTACTACAGAGGTTTCAGGCACCCACCGGGCTCTTGGAACAAACGCCCTGTGGAAAAGGCGGAACTACAGTACTGGCTTTTTCAAACAGAAAACTAAATCTTAAGAACAGCAGGATTTGGGTTTTTCAAAGAATCTACATTAATATAAATGATGTCCACATATTTTCTTTCTTTCAACTGGACCTATAAATTCTTACTCTTAGTGTTCGATAGGTATATATAAAGTTCCCTATGAGAAACCATCTCTCACGTGTGCAAATTGAAGCTTTACCACACTACTGTCATATAAAAATACACTAAAAATGGCCTCATTTTTCAAAATAATTACCGATTCAATCATCATGAATTCACACGATTATGATACATGAAACTTACTGACTTATATGCGTTACTCCCAGCCAGCAGAATGCACCTGTCATTTGTGAACCATCTATTTGGTCTTCGTCCAGTTTCCTGGTACACAACTCCTGAAAGCCCCGGAGTCTCCGAAGTGCTATCTTTTGTGTGCTAATGAGGTGACCGTGGCTGGTAGCCCCTCGGTGGCTTCAGGATGGGGCTGCTCACAGCAAGACCAAGGCAGGGGGAGGAGAGTGACTGAAGGTTACATTGATCATCAATGGCCAGTGTTTAATCAATCATGTCTACAGAATGAAGTGTCCATCAAAACCCAAAAGGACTGGCTTCAGAGAACTCTGGACAGCTGAACCCACGGAGGTGCCCAGAGGGCGGAGCCCAGCAGGGCGTGGGAGCTCCAACCCCTTCCCACATTCTTTGCCCTCTCCATCTCGTCTGTATCCTTCGTAACATTTCTTACAATTAGCTGGTAAATGTCAGTAAAGTGATTTTCACTTATTATTTATAATAATCATGCCTCTTTTTAATGGAAAAAGCATTCATGCCCACTACATTTATCCTCAGCACAGAGTTCATCGCCAGAGGAACCTGAGTGCAAAAGGCTGTTCTTACATTGCCGTCCACTCCTGCAGGGCTGCTGAACACGTACTCCAGCTGGAAGACGACCGCAAACGCAGGGTGGCCGACCATCTCCGGGAGGCGGAGGCGGCTTCTCAAAACCAGAGCTTGACTCCCAGAGCTGGGTCAGAAACACAAACCGGGAGCGCATTAGAGCTCAGGCTCCCATCTTTCCTGCATCCACATCGACCACTGTCAGCAACAGCCAAGAGGACACCCTGGGGGACACAGAGGTGCTGCTGCCACAGCAAGTCTACCATGTAACACTGCATGCTCTTCCCAAATGATCTGGAAATTCCCCCAAACCATTGCTTTTTTTTTTTTTTTTTTTAAGAGATGAGGGTCTCACTATGCTGCCATGACTGGTCTCAAACTCCTGAGCTCAAGCAATCCTCCCGCCTCGGCTTCTCACTGCTCTTTCAACGCCTTTCCAAATTACCAAAGCTTGATACGGCCTGATATGGCCAAGTGACCAGGAAATGCCATAGAGGATGGAGGCTCCTTCTTCAAGGCTGGCCTACGGCAGAGGACACCTGGCCTCTGCCTGGCACCATAAGAGAGGAAAGGCATGATGCCCTGCAGTGATGTCTGCGACACCTGATTTGGGAAGCACTGGATTAAACAGAGCAGCAGGTCTTGCTGCCCCCTGATTCTCCGTCCTATGAGAAACTAATCACAGGGCACACCTAGAAGGCAGCATGCAAGGCCTCCACAGACCCTCAGCAGCCGCAGCTGGAAGCATCCATAATGCTAACCCCCAAATTGTCAGAGCACAAACGGAAAAAAAAGGGGGGGCTTTTTCCGAACTTCCAACTCCAAGGTTGGTTTCTAATGGGCACAACTTAGCAAGAGGAAAGAAACATAAGGAAGAACTCCCCCGTGGGTGAGTCCACACCTGACATGCACAAATTTCATCGTGATCCCTTGTACATCCCCACCCATCCCAGGGGACCCAGGGGACAATACCTGGTCTTGGAAGAGGAGACCACTTTCCTGCTGAAGCTGGCTGAGCGCGTCAAGGCCACATCCATCTCAGGCACCAGTACAACGACCTGCGGCCTCTGCACGAAGCCCAGACCGTTGTGCACGCCCACACGCAGGCGCCGTTCCAGGATCTCCAGGCCACCACCGTCCAGTGGGCCACATCCCTGGAAGAGGCACAGGCAGAAGGAATGAGCCCCGGCACAGACGGGAAGAGGGAGCTCGCCAGAAGTCCCTGGGGGAGGCGAGCAGAGAGAAGACACTGGAGCAGAAGCTGCAGATAACTGCAGATCAGATGATGCCTAGTCAAGATGAGTGCAAGCAAATGACAGATACAGCACCCAATCCCAGCCACTGGCCTTGGGGCACTGCCCAGGGAGTTTTGGCATTTCCGACACAGCATGATCCTCTCAGCACAATGCACACCCTCAGATGCCTCGATCCCCAAACCCTGACACTAGCTTTCCAAGGTTGAGCTGACCATTCTCAAGATGCAGCAAACTCGTATTTGGCTCCTTCAAGACTCCTCCAAGGTCCCATAGCCCACTTCCCCGGAGTCCCCTTTCCCAGAGGCTGCTTCCCCGGAGCCCACTTCTCCCTGGGGCCCAATTCCCTGGATGATGATGGAAAGGTGCTCAGAGGCAGAACTCATCACATTTCAACTCTACCGAGAGACCTGACTCTTGGTTGGTGTACAAAGGGAATGTTGGTGTACATTGGTTTATGCTTAGGCACTAAGTCATAAACCAATAAAAACAGAATCTGCCCCAAAGTGGTCACTCGATATTAAAGTGTTTCATCTTAACAAAAATGTACAGGCACTCAAACAAATGAACAAGGACATTCCCCCAGCTATTAGTGTTTATTAAATTATGTGATCTTTGCAAAATGATCCCCGAATTTTCAAGTTTTCTTTACTGTCCATTAATCAAGTGGAACAGACCTAAATTCAGCCTTTGGATAATGAAAATAAAACTATGCAGATAACTGAGTATCTGCCAGTTGGACTGGAACAAAAATACAAAGACAGTAAAAATACATAATAAAGTGATTTTAATGGGACTGTATAAAATTCAACAATGATAATCCTAAAACATCTCTACCCTCACACAATCTGCCCTGAAAAGCGAGAAAACAGCAGGAACTACACCAAGGAAACTGATGCTGCTGTTTCAATCCTATTCTCTGCTTTGTGTGTACATAAGACCATATTATGTGGAACTGCATTTTCAAGAATGGGTAGGGAGCAAGCAAGTCCAGCTCATTCACACACACACACACGCGCGCGCGCACACACACACACAATAACTTGCTAACTTAATAGACTACTAGGATGAGCACCTGAATCATTCATTCTCACAACTAAATATTACAGCCCTACTATGTGCCAAACCCCATTCATGTCCATCACGTGCCATGGTAAACAAAACAAAGTCCCTGTCCTGGTAAACAAACACTCACAGCAAGAGACCAACAATAACAGAGAAGAAGGCCAGCTGCTTCCAGGAAGGGCTGAGCGCCCGGGAGGAACGCGGGGTGATGGCTGGAGACACGGTGGCAAGGGTGGGGAACAGCACCCCTGCAGGACAGTCAGGGGACCCCGTCCAGACCTGAAGCCTGAGGGGAAACACGCAGAGATGTGCAGGAAGAACATTCAGGAAAGTCTGCTACATGCTCCAGGACCCATGCAGGGACGAACATGAGTCCGAGGTCACCCAGGCGGAGGCAGGCCTGAGTCCAGGACTCCAAAACAGGCCCAGGAAGTAGCACACAGTGAAATAGGGAAACCCGCAAAGACCAATCCATGCCCAGGAGGCATCACGCAGTGAGGCAGGGGAAACCCGCAGAGACCACACCACATGCCCCCCAGAGGGTCAGGAGCCCAGGTGTCAGTCCAAGCGCAATGAGAAGCCAGCAGCAGGTTTTCAACACAGAAGAAAAATGGCTGAATTTATGTTTTGATACTTAATCTTACCCAAAAGGCCGAGAAGTGATGAATTTATGTTTTTAAAAGACCTCTTTGATTACTGAGTGAAAAAAAATGTTCTCTGGGACTTTTAAGTGAACATGACGGGCGGGGACCCTTCCTCAGAGAATTTCCTTCCCCCAGTACCTAAGGAGCAAAATATGCCACCAATTAAGGACGGTGGCACAACAGAATGCACCAGCCTTCAGGACCTGGTGCCAAGGCAGGACCCAAGCCTTGAAGCTCAAAGGGAGGAAGGCAGGCACCGTGCCCATCTCTGCCTCCACCCCCAGGAGCTACGGCTGAGTTGGCAAAATCCTGGGAATTCCACCAAACCCTCATGGTAAAGGACTCATTCACAGCTCCAGGTAAGGGATCTTTAAAGCCACATCCTTTGTCCTGGAACCTGGAGTCCCCTACCTCTCCGACTCTGGACTTGGCCAGTGACCTGCTTTGGCCAATGGGAGAGTAACACATTTAATCCAAACAGAGGTTTGAAAATGTCTACGCATTTCCAACTCCTCTCTTAAACATCTGCCTCCATGAGAGCAAGCCCAGACTGGCTGCCACAGGAGAGGCCACAGGGAGCCACCGTACCCCAACCAAGGTCATCCTAGACCAGCAGACCTCAGCAGACCAGCCAGCTCATTGCAGGCCCATGAGGATTTTCCAAAAAAGTCCCTTTTACTTCCTGCTTGAGATTCTACTAAAAGTCAGGATATACATGGAAGAATGCTCAGCCCCAACCTGAAAACAGCCCAAGAGTCCATCAGTGGTAGAATGGATTCATAAATCCTGGTGCCCTCACATGGACGACCATCCAGCAAAGAAAGTGAGCAAATGGAGCCACAGTCACTGCAGACAGCCTCTCACGGGAGCACAGTCTTGAGCAAAAGCAGCAAAACAATACAGAAGAAAAAAGTACGACTTCATTTAAAGATAGGTCAAAAGCAGGCAAGCCTATAGTGTTTAGAGATGCCTGGAGAGGCAGTAAAACCAGAATAGAAAGCCAAGATGTGATTAGCACAAACGCCCTAGGGAATGGGCGGGGAGGAAGGTGCAGCCAGGATGAGACCAGAGAGGCTCTGAGGGTGCCTCTGTGCGTGCCGGGCCCAAGGCCTCCCCCTGCTGTCCTTCCTCACGTCGCGCAGTCACGCAATCACATTCTGAGCACTGCTGTGGGACTCATCATGAAAGGGGTGTGACATGAAGAGGACTCGACGCAATAGCAAGATGTTACCCCACCAGTCTCTCGGCTCTCTGCAATTAAAGTTTCTTTCTCTTCGTTTCTGAAGTCGAAAGTGAAGACTCTCTCTCGTTCTAGGAGGAGGAACAAGGAGTGGTTTGCCCACAACCCAGGTCTAAGGGCCCCTCCTTCCAGAGCTGAGAGCAGCCAGGGCTGACCCCTCTTCTCCCCACTCCATCTGGTGACCATCAGCGAAGGTGCGGGCAAGTGGGCTGAGCCCAGGGCCCTAGCAGAACCAGGCAATCTCCGTCCCACATGCCTGCTCCCACTGCTGCTGGAGACAGAAGAGCCAGGGCGGTATTTGTGACAGTTCATCAGGTCCAATTTTTCCAGACCAAGGACAGATTATCGCCTAGAAAACATAAGCAATCCCCAAACCTGCAAAGGCTTTTCCAAGTCTTGTCTGGCATACAAACAAGCTTCTACACAGAAAATCCAAGAGAATTTTTGCTGTCAGAGGTGACGGGAGCTCTAGAAACAACCTCCCTGGCCCTGGTGTTTTACAGTTTGCAAGCCAGGGCATCGCTGGGACGGGGCCGGAGAGGAAACCCCAGTGGATGCTGCGCATTAGGCAGGCTGAGCTCCACACACCTGCAAGACGCAGACATCCCTCCCGGGGGCCACAGGCAAACAGGCTCGACAGCCACTGCCTAACAGACAGGCAACCCCTCCAGACACCGCGCCAGGGCACCTGGACAAACCCATCACTGAAAAGCAACAGACAGGAACGGCAAGGAGTGTGAACAGGCGCTCAGAGACCAGAACGCAATGACGTGTGACACGGGCAGGCTGAGGGGACGGTGAGGCTGGAGGTGCCTTCCCAGGGGCCCAAGGTGGGTGAGATGACTGAAGGCTTCCAGCCACCTCTGGAAATGAACCCCACGTCCCCGCCAACATCCTCTGAACACGGGAAGGGTTCTATGGGTTTCCCTATGCCCATCTGGTGACTTAGCTTACTTTAAACGAGGACTATTTCATGATCTACCAGAATTAATGTTAATTAACACCTCAGGTCAACTGCACCTTCATCACTGTTCAAGCTAAAACAACGACTGGAGGCTCTGTGGGGGCCTTGGCTGTGGAAGAAAGGGGTCCCTAAAGGTCCA